TTTTTTGGTAAATAAACATGTTTGTTGTCTTTATTTTTTGTTTATTCACTGTATTTTATTGAACAAAATGGTTATGCGGCCCGCGCTCGCCATTCTCTCAGCTGGCCTGCTGTGAAAAACGTTTGATGACCCCTGATTTATATGAATAAATAGGATTTGTTGGCACACCCATCTAAATGAAACTATCCAAAATATCGATGTTTTTCCATTTAGATGTGTGTGTGTTCAAGCCTATGTACTTTGTTTTGTTGTTATATAAAAAGTTACACAATGAGCTATCTGTGCTTTGCCTACGCAGGTATCCAAACCAGGACAATGCCAAAGGTTTGGTTTGTTATGAATTTCGCGCAAAGCTACACGAGGGCTATCTGCGCTAGGCGTCCCTAATTTAGCAATGTAAGACTAGAGGGAAGGCAGCTAGTCATCACCACCCACCGCCAACTCTTGGGCTACTCTTTTACCAACGAATAGTGGAATCGACCGTTACATATAACGCCCCAATGCTGAAAGGGCGAGCATGTTTGGTGTGGCGAGGATTCGAACCATCGAACCGCAGATTGTGAGTCGAGTGGCCTAACCACCTGACCATGTCGGGCCCCAATGCTAAAGGTAGTGCAAGCGGAGCGCCCGCACAGGGTGACCACCCATAAGGGCTGCGATTTTGCATCTTTGAGGGCAAGGATAAATTAGCTTCATCTGAGGAAGGCGCAGAATTTATATTTACCTTCAAATGTGCTAGGAAGTTTTATGTTATATTCTTAGAACATTCAAGACGTTCTACGTCTATGTTAATAACTTTTTGATCTGAACGTTATAAGTAAGACCCGTAGCTTCTTCTAAGTCTAACCAATTTTAAAATTACAACATTGAAAATATAACTTACAACACTTTTCGTTATGAATGCTTGTCCTATAATAAACGATATAGTGCAGATGCCAAATGTGGTGCTATCTGTTGTGTAACACACATACACACAAAAAAGAAAAATAAATATTTACCACCCATACCCTGTCAGTGTCAGTCTTATACGCAGTATATTGGCGTTTTATCACTCTTTTTCTAAACCTAATGATAAGGTAATGTTGCTGTGTTAAAAAGTATTTTCAAACATCGAATTGTAATTTATAGTAGTATTTACGTGCTTGGGATGAAGGTTTTATAAATTTGAAAGCTATAGTTATTGAAAGCCGAACGAAGTTTAAATGTAAACATGTTTATTGCTTATCCTGTAATGCAAAAAGTTTAAAGATTTATATTGTACAAGAAATATTCATTAACTTGTGTTTGTAACTTAAGTAGTAACTAGTGTGAAAATGTAGTCCTACTCCTAGAATATGCTGATTTGAGTTGCGCAAAATTTGTACGTAGTTGAACTTGAAGTGTTTCTTAGTCTTACATAAATTACAATGCATTTATATTGAGCATCTATTACGTAGATGACTGACTTATTATACTAGTAATAATAATAATACAGTTTTGAAGTTCTTGTGGGGCAAAAATTTAGAACCAGCAATAGTAATAGTGCTACTAATATTATTATTAATAATAACACTATTAGTAGTAGTATAAAAGCATTGCTTTCACTTCTATAATCTCAGTTTCATTTTCTAAATTCCAACTATTTTCACTATTCTATTCTATATATAAGACTAGGATGGAGACTCAATGACATCATACAGTTATAATATGGGGTGACCAGACATCCCAGTTTGAATCTATTGCCCCTGAGCCCTCCCCGAAAAAAGACTGGAATGCTGACTTGTCTTGTTTTTTTAAAAAGGGGGAAAGTGTCTCAAATATACCATGTTCTCATACCTAACTGTATCTTTAAGGTTATTGTGTGTGTGTTCATGGAGTACTCTTGAATGAATGGGAACATTCGAGGCACTTTGTTGTTGGAAGCCATTAGAAGCGTTGACAACATGATGTATATATAAGGGATCACTTTAAGATTGGTTTTGTTCTAATTCATGTGGTGGCCTATTTATTGAACCTATAATTGTATGGCTACCATGTACAGTGACTGGTGACTGTGTTATTTGCTACCGGTGTTACAATATTGTAAGGTTTACTTTTAATATTATTGTTTTCTTAGGTATTAAAAATGCTAAATGTATTTATAAGGAAGAATATTTGAAGGAGTGGGCATGTATTAAGAAGGGTCATCAGGATGACAAAATTGAATGTACATTGTGTGTACAGAATACTGTACATGATAATATAACAAACTTTCAAGATCATGCAACAGTATCATGGTTTGCCAACCGATAAACAAAGGGTAATTAAGAAAATTAACTGGAGAAGTAAACTTGTGGCAAATTTCTTCAAATGTGTTCCACCCATAAATATTGATGTATTTAGTTCAACATTCAATCTGGGGTCTGTCTGTATACGGAATGAAAAAATGCATGAGGAGCTCTCATTTGTACCTTTTCATTTTTTACCATATATGCATGGACCACCCTAATTTAGATATATCTCTATGACTGGAATGCATGCATTTCTAGCACTCTTGACTATCATGCACACATATGTACCTCTAACACCCTGACTATTTCAACTAGAATCCTGACTGTAATATATGTATATTCAGCACCTTGACCAGCATGCATTTACACCCTGATGAGGATATAGGTACCTCTAACATCCTGACTGACTTGGGAGGAACTCTAAATTCATGACTGTAATGTATATTTATATATCCAGCACCTTGACCAGCTTGCAGTCCCTCTTACACCCTGACTATTGTACGTGTACCTCTAGCATCCTGACTGGTATGGATGTACCTCTAAAATCCTGACTCTACCTTTAGCACTGTGACTGTCATGTATCTATCACATTGTCTTTAATGTAGGTACTATACATCTAGAATCCCGATTAATGCTTTATATCTTGCATTCTGACTAGAGCTAGGCTTAACTCGGTTAACCTTAACTACATTGATTAGTGTCATGTAAAATCATCAATAAGTCAAAATTAGGATTGAATCTATTAATGTCATAAAAATAATCAACTAATTTATATTATTGTTTCTGATTATTACTATTTTTGATTACTTCAACTATCCAAGTCTCATGAGAATAATCAATTAGCTGAATTTAATCAATTAATGAGCCCAATGATTAATTGATTATCAAATTACACTAATTATCCAGCTCTAATCCTGACTAGTATATACATATGTCTATCATCCTGACTGTAATCCATGTACATCTATCACCCTTAGTTGTTTTCACTTTCTTTCTGTTTATAGTTTTAGATGAATATAAATGTACATAGGCAGATATTTGCATATATATTGTATGACTACAGTCTGAAATGTCTGTTTTTGTCCAGTGCATATAACAATGTTTTTAGCCATTATGTGACTCTACACTTGGTGCATGACTAATTCATGTTTAAAATGTTGGAAATAATTATAAGTTGGTTTAGTGCCTTTATGTACAGATTTTAAAATTGTTTATACTAAAATATTCATGGCTGAGAAATTTTAAAAGTAAATTGTGTGAAGAGCCATATCTTGTTAACCACTTTTTTCTTATTGTTGTGCTTAAGTTTATGTTCGTTTTTTTCTTTATGTTAGTTTTCTGCAAAGGAAGAATGACTTCACCAATGGATAATAATAATATCAGGGGAATACAAGGGCAGTTAGAAATATTGCAAAAACTGTGGAGTGATGGAAGACAGAGGAGAACTGAGCCACTTGTGGTTTTTTTAAGGCAGTGTTTTGAAAATGCAGACAATTGTTATCAGCTATGTTTAGAGTTGTTTCAAAACTCTTGTGACTTTTTCAAACCCAAATCATCAGGCTTAGCTTACACTGTAATGCGAGAGTTTGGAGAATGGTTAAAAGCTTCTGGGGACAAACATCTGTCATGCTTAAATCAAGAAGTCAAGTCTACTGTCTTAAAAGCTATTCTGTTGCAGAAGAACACAAACATGGTCAGAATTGTTTGTGATATTTATAGACTTGCAGAAGATGGAGACATGTTCATCAATACTGTAAAATCTCTAATTTTGAAGCAAGCTTTTAATGAGGTCAGTTTTATGTTATGGAGGCTAATCAAACTTATTATTTAATTATAAATTAGTAGTAAACCTAGAAACATTTTCATTCAATGGTTTTTTGCCAAATTTGTATATTTCTTAATTTGCATACATTAAAAAAAAAGAGTCAAGATGAGTTAGCAAAATATTTTGAAAATGGTGTTTATGGTTAATCCAGATGAGTTAACAAGCTTTTTTCAGTGTATTTCTTGTAAAAAATATACTAGATGGTTCCATTGTGTTAAGGTTTAAAAATTATCTCACTACTAATGTTGTTAATAATTTCATTTCGTTTTTAATTCCACAAGCTTCATATCAACTTTTGCAGATGTATTACATCATGGAATATGAAGAATGTATAAAATACATAGACCATAATAATTGATGTTTTCTTGTTTTAAAAACATGACAGTAATATGGTTACAACATGTATATATTGTATGTGATTATTGGCCAGACAACTGCAGGAACTAAAGTATCTTCAATACATTATTTTGATCAGAGAGATATAGCCAAAAAATGTGTTGTCTATGTCATTTCTAAAGCTTGATTTTGTATTATTTTTTTCAGGCTTGTCTTTATGTTGGAGCACTACAACTTCATCAGCACTTCAAATTGGAAGAGGTAGGGTCTTTCACAAATGGCTTGAAAAATTTAATTCAGTGCATAGATATATTTCAGTATTTCATGAACTTATGTATAGACTTTTATTATACTTTAACTTGACGTTTTTCACACCATTCACACTTTGTGTCCACAGATTGTTATTCCACTGATTCTACAAGATAAAGTGCATCTTGTGGAATTTTATCTTCAAAATCAACATGAACTTCAATTACAGTTGATTTTATTCTTAGATTCTGTCTTCTCAAAGCCTGCAGAGATTGAGAATTTAGTAACGTAAGTAGCTTTCATGATCTCCAAGCCTGTATCAGAATGTATTGAAGTTTTATAATACCAAAAAAATGTCTTTAATTACCAGCGTTTCAGAATTGCTTCAAATTCCATCATCAGCATTAAAATCTCAAAAAGTTAGTTCTCAATATTCTAAGTATAAAAACAATATTAGCTATTAAGCAAGTAGTTTTCTATGCAATCAGAAGCTTAGAAAGAACAGATTTAAACAGTAACAGTATAATGGAATGTTCAATAAAATGTTTAATGTTTACATGTTTAATGACATTGTTAAGAGAAAACATTATAAAGAAAGGTTAACTATAAGTATAAACACTGCATCTTTAAAATTAAAGTTATTATAATTATCAAATAAAAACACTGAAAAATCTGGAATTAATTAAATTAATGAAAACAGGGAGGAGTTGATGTTATTATTTTGTGTTGGTGATCATTGAAAATAGAGATGCTTTCTTTAGTAAAATGTTTTGTAATCTGTGGTTCTGGACATGATAATTTTAAATATTCAAGGAGTATGGGGTGGTGGTTATTCTCATTCTGTAATTGGATAAAAGACTCAGGATTAATTAGCTTATATCCAGTTCTAGCTGAAATTCCATGTGCTCATGCACGTGTATGTAGGTGATGTGTAGTTTTACCAATATAGGTAGCTTTACAGCTACCACAAGTGTATTTGTATGTGACCCACAATTGCATAGAAATGGTACAGTGTCTTTGATTTTAAATATGTTTTTAATTCTAAATGTAGACTTAAAGACTAAATGTAGTTTAATTTGTGGGTTATAATTTGTGATTATTTATTGAATTTGAGATTTAAGTTAAAATCAAAGGAGTGATAAGAACTAGTCGATATTTCTAGACAGTGTGTAGCTTTTTTTTGGTAAGTTCCGTTTCAGCTATTAAAAATGTTTGTGTGATGAGTGTAAGAAATTAAGGGGATAACAATTACTTTGTAATATGTTATGAATTTTTGAAATTTCTTAAAGATATTACATGCTCTGTTTAGAACAAGGTCACATTTGAAACTGTTAGAATGAATATATAGGCCAGTAAATGTTTTCTTACAGTAAACAGATATGGCAAAGAGATTGTTTATTTTGTTTACCTGGACATCTGAAAAACTAATTTATTATTTTCTTCCATCTCATGTGTAAAGTTTATACACGAATGTTGTCAGTTTAGGTATTTTAAAAAAAAGTAGAGTAATGGATTTTTCATGTTTAAACAAATCCTTGTTTGATTTGAACTAAAACTTCACAAACCCATTACCACAGTGGCTGATTTTATTTCTTACACTCACTTTAATCCTTAGAATAAAGAACAAACCTGTAAGGAGAATATTAGTATTGGAAGGTGGTTTACTTTATAAATTATTAGAAATAAAAGAAATTGATAATTTACTTTTCTTCTTTTTCTTTGCTCTAGCAATTTGAAGGTGCATTCTGTCAGAAAAGAAAAATTGCGGCCAAAATCTTTGGGCAAATTACTTGGTCGCTTAGTAAAACTATATGGTATACCTATTGGTAAGTAAAATATGTAGCATGCTTATACATACATCCTTATTGTCACACTTACTGTTTTATCCTAGGTGTAATATTTGTATTTCCATGTTTTGACACTGTGCTATGTTTAGCTGTCATACTTTGCTGTCCTTCTTGCTAGACTGTTTTGTTCATAATGCTCAATCTTGGCTGTCAAGCTGTTCTGTCATAGTTAAGTACTTCTAATGGAGCTGTGTCAGCTGTTTTACTTAGTTCTCATAAGTTTATAGTTATATTTTGTTTTACTGAGTCTGTCATAGTAAATTATTACATCTGTCATGCTGTTTTTATGTTAGTACATAAACCTGTTTCCAGACTATGAACAAACAGACCTTTTAACCATTATTCATAGTATTTAATAAACCTACCTCTAGACAAATAGAAAAAAGGACTTTTACCAATAGTTTTGTATATAATAAACAACAAACAGGCCCTTACAAATAGCCATAGTGTTTAACAAACCAATTTCTATATTAAACAAACAAACCCTTTAGCAGTAGTCTTAGAATTTAAAAAACCTAGGTCTAGACATTAAACAAACAGACCGTTTATCAGTAGTCCTAATATTTAATAAAACTATTTCTAGTAAAGCAGCAAATAGGCCTTTTATTAGTAGTTCTAGAATTTAATGAATCTATTTCTATAGAATAACGAAACAGGCATTTTACACTAGTTCTATTATTTAATAAACCAATTCCTATACATTAACAAACAGGCCTTTTACCATTAGTTTTAATATTTAATAAATCTATTTCTCTCTCTCTCTCTTAATATATATATATATATATATGTTTGTGTACACAATAAAAAATCAGGCCTATTATACTCTTAACTACATAGCATGCTCTGATCGGAAGTTAACATTAATGGCAAAAGTTCAGTAGTGCCTTGCTGATCATTTAACCTCAGCTTCATTTGAAGAAACAGAAGAGTCTCCCTCACCTGTAGCATAGTCTTGTTCTCAGCTTTCCTAATTACTTTTTAATGTATTGGGGAATGGGACTACATTACATCTTTAAACTTGAAAAAATGTAGAATTCTTAATAGAGGTTTAAACACACAAATTTAAGGTGAACTTGTGGATAGAAACCATATATTATGGCATTTAATTTCTTCTTATATGGTAGAGAGATAACGACTTGTAGCTTTGGGACATCATAGTTCACTGACCTAGATAGAGGTAGTTATTGAACAGTTTTATTGATGGTTAGAAAATAAATACACACCTTCAACAGAAAGTTAAAGTGTGGGTGTGAAAAGCATCCATTGTTTAGAATAACACTTCTTTTATGCCTTGTGCATTCAGTACATTTCATTGAAGTAATGAATTTTCTAAATGCCCCCTCCCCTTTCTGTGCTTCACCATAATGGTTTCTCCAATGTTCAAAGGGAGCTTTTGTGTATATAATGCTTTGTTGGTGTGTGTCTATGTTTTTTTAATACAATAAGTTTTGTTTAAGTAATGGACATTATACAAATCCAAAGATTAAATTTTATATGTGAGTGACAGTCAGTGTGTGAGTACAATTCAAAGACTGTCACATGGTTTCTTTAAACAAGAGAAAACAAAAACTTCATATTGTTTGAATGCATCTCAAAGAACCTGTGAATGCTTAGAACCATCTTTGAATTCCTGACTAGCAAATGAACTACCAAACTTAATATAACTATTTGTTTTTCAAGTGATCTCACTGTAAGCACCCTAAGAGATATTGGTTTAAAAATAAAGAAATATTAGCAGTATTATAATTAGAGAAGAAGTAATAATATAACTAAATGCTGTTTTTTCTTATTCAATTTTTAGGTTTTTCTTTAGTTTGAATTTGCAAGCATACAAACGTTATCACTATTAAGGTCTGAGAGTAATGAGTTGTTTTTTTTCTACCCTGCAGAAAAATGTCCAAACCTGTGTCAGAGACGGAGTGCTGGTGCCTTCAGGTATATTTTGTACAAAAAATATATAGAAGTAAGTATACTTTTATAGCAGGATACAGTCATTTGTCTTTAGGTACATTTTTTAGAAATAATATACAGAAGTAAGTATACTTTTATAGTAAGATATAGACAGGTGTATTTAGGTACATTTTATAGAAATAATATACAGAAGTGAGTATACTTTTATAGCAGGATACAGTCATTTGTCTTTAGGTACATTTTGTAGAAATAATATACAGAAGTGAGTATACTCTTATAGCAGGATACAGTCATTTGTCTTTAGGTACATTTTGTGTAAATAATATACAGAAGTGAGTATACTCTTATAGCAGGATATAGACAGGTGCCTTTAGGTACATTTTGTGTAAATAATATATAGAAGCGAGTATACTTTTTATAGCAGGATACAATCATGTGTCTTTAGGTACATTTTGTAAAAATAATGCACTGAAGTGAGTATACTGTTATAGCAGGATACAATCAGGTATCTTCCTTTACTTGGGCAGGTTTCTTTATGTACATTTTGTTCATGCACAGCAAATTCAAGGAAAATGAACCTTAAGATTAGAAATGTGCTACATATTTAACAAAGTCTACTATACTGAAATATAAGATAAAAATGTGTTCTATGCACAGCAAATTCAAGAACATTGAGTTATAAGGTGAAAGGTCTGGTACTTAGGGTGTTTGACTTGCTTTTTTGGGTTACAGGATTGAAACTCATAACTGAATATGCTCACCTTCTCAGCTGATTGGGAGCATTATAATGTGATGGTCAATCCTACAATTTGTTGGTAAAGAGTAGCCCAAGAGTTGACAGTGGGTGATGTTGACTAGCTGCCATTCTTCTAGTCTATGAGATCAAAATTAGGGATGGCTAATTCAGATAACTCTTGTATAGCTTTGTTTGAAATTCTCCCTCATTAAATAAAAACAAAAATATATTATGAATTTGTGAAAATTGTAGAAAATTATATGTTTTAGAAAAAAAAAGGTTTTAAACAATTACAAGTTTTGTTTGTTTTTCAGAGAAGCATAACTGATGAAAGCTATGATGAGATGATTAAGGTAAAGCTTTAAGTTTGAAGATATTTTTTAATTGCTTGTTTGTTAGTTTGTTATTCTGAAAATAAACATTCCAGATTGTTATTAATTCTCTTGCTCTGGGCATCCTTTTATGAACATGTCACAAGGTTTTACTGAGTTATATTCAAAACTTAACTAAATTACTTTCTTATTATGGTATATTAATATACTTGGCATAAAAATGTACCTAATAATCCAAATTTTAATATTATATAAATTTGACATTCTTACTTTTATGAGGCAATACTAAAAAAATATCCAGATTTTCCCCTGGTATGAGAATTGTGACATTTGATTTCTAAGTATCCCCATTTCTTAAATTTATTTACCATCTCTCCGAGAAGTACAAAATTTAACTTAAGTTACTCATTATAATGTTGTCATCACTCAGGCAAAGCATAATATTCATAGCCTTCAATCTTATTTGGTTACAGAGCAATAAAAGAGAAAATGAGACTCCTCTTGTCACATCCTCCCTTTCAGGATTTGTTAATATTTCTCTCTTATGTTGAATATTATATTATCTATAACCAATAGAAAACCAAGGTTTTAATCTATCAAGTAACATATTATACTACAATGTTTTCTGTACAGAGAATTTTCTATTTTGCTTCCTTATCAGTCATTATTCCCATGGGAAACACAACATTGAGCATAGTTGAATTTTTAGTGGCTCTTGTTGCACAGTTAGAAATCTAGAAAAAACTGTGATAATTATAGGACATTGTCTGCTTTTTGCATGTTATTATTCTGTGTTCTTTGGTGCAATATTTGATTAACCCTATTGCCCTGGGTATCCTTTACTGTGCATGACACAAGGTTTTAGTGTCTTACATTCAAAATTTTATTATACTACTTCTTGTTTATGTTATACCAATTAGAATAACATAAAATCTTAGCTAATAATCCATATTTTAATAGTATAAAAGTTTTAAGTTCTTAATTCTATAAGGGAATATAAAAAAAAAAATCCAGAATTTCCACTAGTGTGACCCACATGACACATTTTGTCTTAGCATATCATCACCCCTCAAAGATGTATGAAATTAAAGGTAAATTACTCCTTATAAAATCATTATTGCTCAGACAAACCATAATTTTTATAGTCTTCAATTTTGTGTGGTTACAGAGCTATTGAATAGAAAATCGGACCCTTCCTGCCACACCAACCTGTCATATCCTCTCTTTCATGATTCGTTGATAGCTCTCTCTTACATTTCATTATATATATATATATTACCTATAACGAATAGAAAGTCAAGGTTTTCTTCTATCAAATGACTTATTGTATAATGTTGTCTTTTGAACAGGAAAGTGTTAATTTTACTCACAGTACAAGCTTTGTTCCAGTGGGAAAGTTGGATGAATTTGTAACGGCTCTTGTTGCATAGTTAAAAAGCCAGTAAAATTTTGAGAGTTAAGGAAATTTATCTACTTTTTGCATGTTATTAGTATATATCCTGTGGTGCATTATTTAATTAAATAAAAATGATTAAATGCATTATTATTAGTACTATAGAAAGTTAGGGTTAACTCTCTTTGAAACCTGATGGCAAGAAAAAGAAGATTAATTAAGTATTTTATTTCTTGTTTTTCATATTTATTCTTATAAAAGTAACTAAAATCTAAAAATACGGATCCTTTTAAGTTATTTAAGACTAGATTAGCTACAATAAGTAATAATAATATAATTAAAATGGTTCACGAGGCACGCATGTGAAGAACTCATGGTAACTTGTGGGTAATGTAATTCGATAGGGTAATGTGTTGTGCACATTCTCT